GATGCACATTTATTCGGTTATATATTTCATATATGGAGTAGTAAAATGTATCATAACCTCAAGGAAACATTTTGGTGGCTAGGATTGAACAGAAGTGTGATAGAATTTGTGGCTAAGTGTTCTTTATGTTAGCTAGTAAAGGCTAAACATCAGCGTCTTGGAGGTCATTTTCAACATTTACTTATTCTAGAGTGCAAATGGGAGGGCTTGTGATGGATTTTTGTGATTGGGTTCCCTAGATCATGTTAGGGTAGTGATGCTACATGGGTAATCGTCGACAGATTGACTAAGGTTGTCCATTTCATACCCATTAGACAAACAGATCTAGTGTAGAGGTCAGTTAAGTTGTATGGGGATCAAATTGTGAGATTTCATGAAGTGTCAAAGTCTATTATCTCCGAGAGAGATGAAAGCTTACTTCCAGATTGTGCAAGAAGGTTGATAAAGTCTTGGGCAACTGATTGATTTTTAGCCCAGCCTTTCATCCTTAGATAGACGATCAATCAAAGAGGACTATTCAGACTTTGGAGGATATATTAAGATATGTATTCTTGATTTGGTGGATGATGGAAATCACACATACTTTTAGTAGTATTTTCTTATAATAACAGTTATTAGATCAGCATTGGGATGACTTCATATGAAGCCTTGTATGGAAGGAATTGTACGATACCTTTATCTTGAGCTAAAACAGGTGAAAGAAGGATCATTGCAGCTTATTTTATTAATGATGTTATTGAGAAGATGAGACTGATTAGAGATGAATTGAGGCTAGTTCAGGATAGACAAGAAATATTATGATGCTAAGCACAAATCTGTTGAGTTTGAACTTGGAGAGTGTGTTTTTATCAAAGTTAATCCATTGAAGGGTGTGCAACATTTTGGGAAAACAGTAAAATTAAGGCCTAGATTTATAGTCCATTACAGATTGGCCTTAACAACTCATATGCAATGAGCGCATAATATTTTCCACATCTCTTCACTCACAAAATATATTGCAGATGAGTTTAGTAGGGTGATAGCAAACTCAATTGATATTCAGTCTGACTTGACTTATATTGAGGAGTCTAAAAGAGTATTGAATTATGATGTGAAGAAACAGTGAAATAGAGAGATCCATTTCGAAGGTTTTATGAAAGCACGAATCAGAAAAAAATGCAAATTGGGAGAGTATCTGAGATGCAAGAAAGATAAACACAATTTTTTATTTGAGGTATGTTTACTTTCATGATTATTTTCAAAATTTGAGGTCAAAATTTTTATAAGGACTGAAGATTGTAATAACTTACTTTTAAGTGTTAAATAAAAATAAAAATGTGTCCGTTTGGAATAATACACATTTTTGTGATTAATGATTACATCCACATTTAACGAATAGCGAGGGAGTAAAGACAATGAAGGTGGGGAAGAAATAAAGAGTGGGAGTCACTAGTTTTGTACGTAAGAGACAATGTCGTGCCCTAGACGAAGAAAGGAGAAGTCGATGCTACCACTTGCTAATATTCAACTGGAGTTGTCGAAGCTGACAGTGCTACTGTGATTGCACTGTCGGGTTGAGTTGCAGGCGTCAAGAATGAAGTTATGCCGTCTTCGTGTGCAGAGGAAGTTGTGACTGAAGGCAGAACTATGTACGTTAGGGTTATCGAGTCGCGCGAAGGAAGAGTTTTAACCCGTATTGTGCGTGTGTGTGTGTGTGCAGAGGAAGAGGAGGAGGAAGACGACGTGTGCGTTGCTTGGGGTCGAGTTGAGGCTAAAGAAGGAAGAAGGAACTTCGTGGATGCAAAAGAGCCGAACTTGCGGTCAGAGCATGAAGACTACGAAAGGGAGTTTGTGCGGTGTTGGGTTGAATGAAGAATCGAAGGTTTGAAACATAAATCTTCATATTTAACTTAAGTTAATTAATCAAATGGTATATAATATATATATATATATATATAATGTTAAAATAAAGTTTAATTGAATTAGGAAGTACTTGGAATTAGGGAGATATAATTTTGAGATTAGGGGAGAAAGAGAAGACTTGTGTATGGAAGCAAGCCTAATTTTAAGGTAAGAAATTGTTAATTGATTTATGTGTCAATTTAATCATGTCCTTAGATATATGTAAGTATTTATTTTAGAATAATATTCTTATATTTATATGCACATTTAATTAATATAGGTGATAATCAAAGAAGTTAGTGGAGGAATAAGTATTTCAGAAGTTTCTTGAAAGCAAATCTGACTATTTTCTTTTTTGCATTAAATTGAGGTTTTATTAAAGGAATAATTACTTTATTATATAGTTTAAAATGATTATTTCATTCGGGCCTTGCAATTTAAAAGTTTGAATTATGTTTCATAAATGAGAAGAAATGATTGATCAAAATAAATAAACTTATAAAGTATTTTAATTGATATTAAATTTTAAGTAAAAGTTTGTCATACAAAATTATTCTCAGATGATATTTAAAGGGAATGTGATGCACTTGTGCATGATAAAAGAAATAGTAAAGATATATCTTAGGGTACCTACATGCATAATGTTTGTGGTAATTTGAGATACATTTCTAAGGATATCTTCGGCTACGACGACAATCTTGTTAGACTCTTAAATTGATTAAAAATGGTTTATTAAAGTGAAATGACGAGGTATAAAATTAAAGTGAATCTCATTTTCTTTTGGTAATTCATGCATAGCATTGACATAATAATTTAATACATAATCAGATTGTAATTACTCACTAAGTCAATCTTACTTTTGAATCTACATCTCTTTCAAAAAAAAAAAACATTATAGGTTGGTATGTCTTGTAGGAGAGATTTGATTTATAGGATGAGGATCACTGCTACTAGGTACTTATGATGATAGTTTCTTTGTATTATCTTCTTCAGATAGTAGTATTTTGTTCAGTATCTGTTTTAGATGTCTTCAGAATATGTTATTGTTTCTGTATGATTTATTTTTGTTTCATTTTATGGATTTTAGTGACTGACTTGTTTTTTATATTGGATGATTTAATAAATTTGTTAATAGTTATTAATTGTTTACACCATTCGAACACAGTTCCCGACTTATTTAATTCTAAGCTATCAGGTTGAGCTGTGTCATTATCTCTGATTTAAGCAAGGATGTTAGCATATGATTCATACTTAGTGTGTTTGTTTGCGCTTGATTGAGAATTGATAACTACAAAACTTAAAATGCCAGAGTCAAGGCTAACCTTGGATGAGCTAAGGCTATTTTAAGGTTGACCACAAGTGAGTTAATATTAGCTCTATCAGGAACTAGGACATCAAACTAGGTTTAATCGTATTGCCTTTATAAGATAACCTAAATTTGCAATGTTAACTGTTATTTAAGCAAGGTAATTAACATATGGTTCAAGTTTAAAGTGATTGTAGGGCTTAATTAAGTATTGATTTAACATCAAAATTGAAATGGTTGGCTCATGGTTGTCCTTGGGCGAGTTAAGGTTAGGCCTATTAGGAACTAGTGGAGTTAAGGTTAGGCCTATTAGGAACTACTGCCCAACCTAGGTTTAATCCTATTGTGCGTATAGGATAAAGTGATCCCTTACAGCACATGCAGCAATGGGCCTGGGTCGTAGGCAAGAAGGAACTTTTGGGAAAAAAGTGAACCCATTTACATAGATACCACCCAATTCTTATGTATTTTTAGGCCTAACATCTAAAATTTCTTTTTTTCTTTTTTTTAATTTTGACGGGCATTTGCATGCCACCACCCAACTCTTATGTATTTGTATTTCTAAAATCTAAATTTTATTTTATATTATTTTACATTTTACAGTTTCATGAATATCTTGTTTTTATCTTATATATTTACTTAATGTATGTTTTATTTTAGTTATTTATTTTATATGATTTTAATCAATTGTTTTATTTTAGTTATTTATTTTAGTTATTTATTTTATTTATTTTATACATTTTATATGATTTTATTTTAGCATACAAATCTTTGTTCGTATTCAGCTCGTTTATAAATTGAATTAAAAAAATTGTTCTTGTTCGGCTTGCTTGTTTAATGAACGCGCTGAACACGAGCCATACAAGAGATGTTCATGAGCGAGCCGTTTGGACAATCCTAGGTGGGCATCTCAACAATCAGATTGGGTCAGGTGTAGGCTAAGTTAACCACCGATAGTCTAGACCTATCTTGGTAGGTATCCTAGATTAATGTGCTTGAAGCGTATGCCTATTCTAGTTATACCTTTGTAGTGCCATTAGATCCAGAATAGCTTAGCGAAATTAGTCTAGGTTAGGTTTTATTAAGATATAGCCTTGGTCAAACATTGAATTTCATGGGATCTGCTCGTTGTCTAGGCCTTATGGTCTGTTATATGTTTATAGTGGGGTTTCTAGCAAGTGAAGCCTACAGCTGATTAAAGTAACAAGCCTCACTGTAAGTTTCACAACAGAAGATAATTCATTACAATGAGGGGTCAACCATGCTACAACTAAGTGGTATTGATGGACGTCAAAGAGTCAGCTTGGAGATGTTCAAGGCGTGGCAGTAAATCCTTTTCTCGGAGACGCAATTTGATGTTGAATTCTTTTTGTACAGCCATGGAAAGATGTACAGATTCAATTTATATTGCTTTTGAATGCCCTTTTTTGTAGTTTGAATGTGGCATTTCTTTTTTGCTTAATTGGTTTTTTTGGACATCTTATTTTTAATAATTTATTTTGAGAAATGAAGTAAAAATTTTAACGATTTAGAATATATCCCAAATTTCACTTCACTCAAATTTTAATCGAATCAATTTTATAAAGTTCTATATAAAGTTCTACGCGTTAAAATGATCAATATTATATATAATACTATATATAAATTGTGAATAGGTTAAAGATATAAAAATCAGAAATTATATGTTTAACTAAACTTAATAACCCTTAATAACCCCTCCTAAACCCCATATTACTGTTCCCAACCAACTCACTCGTGATATTTAGCGTTGGGATGTGTCGAATGGGGGGATCGTCAATCCAGAACCTTCGCATTTCTTCCTTCTCTCCGTTCTCGGTTGCGCTCAATAGGAGCTCCTGCGAGAAGGCTACAATGGTGGAACTATAGCACAGGCGCGATCGCAACACAACTACGACCTACAGAGTCGCGAGCAAAGGAGGCGAGCAACCCGCAGAGTGCCTCAACTCGTTGTTTAGGCTTTTGGGAAAAAATTAGTGAGTACGAAACACTCTTTTGAGCTAATTGAATCATTTCTTTCCTTCCTCCTATTTCCTTTTTTAGATTTATCACAAATTGTGCATCCTTTTGTTTTCGGTTGCTGTAGCAGAGACGATGTCATGTTGGAAGCGAAGAAGTTGGTTTATGAACTTCCATAAGGGTCTTAAGCGACGAAAACAACGAAGATAGGAAATGATTGAATTGATAAGAAGAGAGAAGAAGATTTGGCTGCCTCGAAGAATGGCAGGTTGCTGTGAAAGCTATTTAAGGTACGTTTAAGCTAATGAGTTATATTTTGGGTTAAATTACTTTATAAAGCCAAGATATTATGAAATCCTTAGATATTTACAAATTTTAGGTTATTTACTCAAGGCGGCAAGTTCAATGCGAGCGTGTAGAAACTAGTGGTACGGAGACTAGATTAATTTCTGGTAAAACAAACCAATGCTAGCTTAAAAGAATAATTTGATTAAACAAAATTTCTTTAATTTTAAAATTTATTTTTTGTTCTTTAGGTTATTACTGTTAACATAAATGTTATTGCAACTTCCAGTTAGTTACTTAAAATTAAGAATGCAGCGTGGCAACCATGATGAGTAATTATGTTATCAAATTTTAATAATTTTTTTTCATTTCACAATATATGTTGATTACATGTATTCTTTTGTTCAGCTAGATTTATAATATAACAAATTCTTCATATTGTTAGATTAAAAGGACATGCATATTAAAAAATAAAGATATGATATGCATGAAAGATATGAATATAATGATTGATATGTATGATAGACATGAAATATGAGATATACGTTAGATAAGAGATGAATGATATGAGAGATTCATGATATGAGAGATGCATGATATGAGAGATATATATGATGAATAATTATACAAAAAAGTAAGTATGTATGTTAGTAGATGAATGAAGATGCCTACAAGAATATATGTTTTGAAAAATGAAATAACTTATATATGAATGTTTGTATATGCATGTTAAGAGAAGTTTATCCCCTAAGACAGAGGATTCACTTATACTTGCATGTGCAGTTTTTCTATCACACCAAACAATAGTGATATTTAAATTACTAACCGTTGTGTTGCTCGAAGAATATCGGCTAGGCTCGAGTATACATAGTTTACCTCTGTAGACAATTGTGATGTTTAGATTGTTAACCGCTGTGTCGACGGAAGAATATCGTTTGGCAGTAGATAAGTGTTTTTTATCTCAGATAATTGTGATGTTTAGATCACTAACCGTTGTACCAATGAAATAATATCGGTCAGGGGTTAGATTTTGTTGATGGTGATTCTCAAAGGGATATATATGTATGTAAAGAGTATAAACTAAAAGTAAAATTAAATTAAATGCATATTGAAGCTTTGGATTATGTTCTGAGTGAAGGTCATTGATACTTTGGTAAGTTTAATAAATAATGTCTTATAGAAATATGAAATTTGACCATATTCCATGATTTTTAATAGAGATATGAAAGACCAACATGTATATTAATTTCTTTTCTTAGGTTACTGTAGTTTAGAAGTGTAATTACTAATGTATTATCTTTTGATAACTCATTATGTTGTTTTAATATTTTTTTAGGTATTAAAACTTTTAAACAAATTGAATAGAAAAATAGCAAATGCATACAAGAGGCGAAAACAACAATCAGTAAAAAACTTCTACTTGTTAATTTAATAATTTTCTTTAGTGGCTATCTCATAATTTTTTTAATATTAAATTGTCAGTTATAAAAATAGAATAACAGAGATTATTTTCATCGTCCGACCTTACATTTCTGTTTTGGTTAATTCTAGGCCATGGGTCGTGTCGTGACATGAAATGTGAATGGTTTTTAAACAATCGATCCCATAGCTGAATCTATTAAAATGTACGTTAAGGTTCTGCTAAAGGTACATTGTAAATTCATGTAATGTACGAAGGAACGGGGAAACCAAGAGAATAGACGAAAGAGAAAACGACAAAGCGAAGGAGACGAAATGAATGGTCGGGCAACCAAACAAAGGGAGAGGAAGCGAGGCGTCTGAAGTCTAGAAGACAACTAGCCCCATAAATAAATACGAGAGCAAGAACTAACTAGGAGAGCTGGAGCCACGTGCAGGTGGTTCGATCGAAGAAAAGTCGAACCCTAGCTGCTCATGTGTAGAGGAAGAAGTGGAACAACAAGAAGAATAGTCGAGCTACGTCGTGTGAGGAAGCGGCGACGTCGTAGGTTCTCGCGTGTAGTGATCGGTGAGGAAGAAGGGCAAGCGACTGCGTGTGGGAGGAAAGAGACCCTTCCATGCGGGTGCTAAAGCTGGGCCGATTGTTTAAAGAGTTAGGGGTAATTGATTAAATAAATAAAAATGAGATAAATTATTTAATTTGTAATAACGTAATAAATATGAATACCGTTCTTATTTTAGGCATTCAACTTTAGGGAGTCATGTCAAGGCAAAATAATCAACATCGAGATGACTATTTTTACTTCTAAATTATGGTAATGATGTTTTATTTCTTCTAAATGACGCACATTAGATTGTCATTAGTCAAGTATTTTGTTACTGCAACTAGAATATGATTATTCTGTTTTATTATTCAATCTGATTTTTTAGAAATGAATATGAATGATTTGCATAGTTGTAATCGTGATTTTTAAAATGTAAATGAAATGATTTATAGTATGTTTGTATGTTCATGATTGACTATGATGAAGTCACTTGTTGATGGTATTAGTGGGAGAACACTAAAGGAATAGATGAAAAAGAGGCAACTGATCAGAAGCTTAGAAGACAAGTCACACTATAAATAAACATGAGATGCAAGAACTTCTAGGGGAGATGGAGCCGCGTGAGGATTCAATCGAAGAAGACTCGAAACCTAGCTGGTCGCGTATAGAGGAAGAAGAGGAACAACAGGAAGAATAGTCGAGTTGTGTCGTGTGAGGAGGCGATGCCAAAGGTTCTCGCTTGCAGTGAACAGAGAGGAAGAAGGGCAGGCGATCATGTGTGGGGGTGCTAATGTCGGGTCGAGTGTTTAAAGAGGTAGGGTAATTGATTAAATAAAATAAAAAATGAGATAAACTATTTAATTTGTAATTACATAATAAACATGAATATCATACTTATTTCAGGCATTCAATGTTAGACGATTTGACATTAAGGCAAAATAATCGGCATCGAGGTGAGTACTTTACTTCTATATTTTGTTAATAATGTTGTTTTTCTTCAAAATCACTCGCAATAGAATGTCATTATTCAAGATATTTTGTTACTGCAACTAAAATATTATTATTCTCTTTTATTATTCAATCATGTCATCTGACAATAAATGTGAATGATTTGCATAGTTATAATTATTAACAACACATGCATGTTATCAGGTGATTTTTAGAATGCAAATTAAATGATTTATAGTATATTTACATATGTCTTATTGATTATGATATAGTCACCTGTTGATGGTACTAGTGAGGGAATAATAATGTTTCCATGCACATAAATGGAAAAAGATATTGATATTGAAGTACATTAAGTGATACAAATTTTTAAACCAGCTTTTGTTACAATTGTATAGCGATGAAATGATATAGATATATATTTGATATTAATTTTTTGAATAACATGCTAAAAGTTTATTTTGATTTATAAAAAAACTTAACTGACACGTATATTGTTCTTTTTCATTGTATTGTTATAGTTTAGGAGTACGAGAATTTTTTGGCTTATTTAGATCATTATTATTTTCAAACTAACTTTTCAGTTTAATTAAGTGATAAGAAGATGAGCGAAAAAAAGGAAAATGTTTATAGAAGCCACGGACAACTAATAGCAAGGTAAATTTAAATATGTTGTTTTAATTAAATTGATCGATTACTCTTTCATTTATTAATATTATAGAAAATAAATAACGAAATTTTTATTTCACACCGTCGGATTGTTCATTCCCGTCTTGGTTAATTCTATGCCCCGGGTCAGGTCAAGACGCCCTCATTATCCAAATTTCTGCGCTACTTTTATTTGCATCAAAATGTTGACATAAATTTTATAAGAACTCCAATTTGACACCCATAGACAAGACATGTCTTGAGCCACCTACTTCAACTTAGGATCCTCAGATACCTTTTTAAAGACTCAATGATCACCATGATCATTAAATTCTTCTTAGGAGGAGGTCTACCAACATTGACCTCTCTAAACCCATCTAGGGTCCCCAAAATTGTAAAAATGGGATTGATCCCTAATATAACCTCTTTGGGCTCAGACCATGATGACATCTCAAAATGATCAGATCAATGATGACAAACTCTGATTTGGTCAACCTTGGACCCAATGGCAACCACATTTGATAATTTGGTCAACCCTAGACCCAATGGTCACCACATTGACCATTTGGTCAACCCTAACACTAAATTGGTCAAAATGAACCATTTGGTCAACCCTGATTGGTCAAAATGAACCATTTGATCGACCATGACACCAAATTGGTTAAGATGGACCATTTGGTCAACCCTGACACCGAATTGGTCAAAATAGGTCCATTGATCAACCTTCTAATCCTCAAACTTGATCATTTGGTCAATCCGATGACCTGATTGGTCAACTCTGGTCAAACTGATCAATTCTGAAGCCCATTGGTTAGACATGGTCAACCTCATGAGTTTGAACTAATCAATTAATTAAGTTATTAAAATATCATAGGAGGGGCTTTGGCCCAAGTGGTCTACATGAAGGACCAACCCCAAAAGCATCTCCTTCACCCATGACACATGGGTCATCCATGACCCATAAACCCAATAAGACACATTAAATGCATGGATTTCATGAAGCTACATAGCCTAGCCATCATTTTTGACTTGGGTCAAAAGTCATTATGAAGGGGAAAGTGACATGGCACCATGGAAAAAATCCACAAAATGCACTTTGAGATGAGGTGGGTTGGCTTGATTAAAACTTTGCCAACATGTCCCTCCACCTCATTAACCCTCCAATAGGATAGAAGCCCCACCCTAGCCACTTCCTACACCATACTTGGCTCATCTTGGCTTAGCCATTGAAATGGGGGAAAGGATAACCCCTGGCTGAAATTCTTCTCCCATATCCTCCCTGAGCTTCCTTGCACCACCTCCCACATCTCCCAATCAGTTCTAAGCTCATTTGCCACCTCTAATGGCTATTTAAAGGGTTAGGCCGAGAGCACCAGAAAAGGTAATGATATCTAGAAGCTCCAAACTACTAACATCCAGAAGCAATTTTGCTCCTCACATGCTAGGCAGAAAAACCCCCATAAATTCAGCCTCTGAAATCTCATAGAGAGCTCTAATTTTCGAGTGGAATCCAGGGCATATTTCGGATTTGACACATATCTATTCAAAACTCCAACCTAAGTCTTCCCCAAGCTATAAGAAGAACTACCCAATCCAAATTGGCCCTTC